CGTGGCAGGCACAGCACTTTGTGAACCTCCATGTGCAGATTTCGTGGTAGGCACAGCATCTGTGGAGCTGGATCGATTTGTAGTGCAACTTTAGCACGCGGAGTAAGATGAGAACTGGCGACTTTGTTAATTTGTAGTGCGCGGAGCAATCTGTGGAGCTGGAAGCTGAGAACTGGCGACTTTGTAGTACAACTTTAGTACGCGGAGTATCTGGGGAGCTGGAAGATGAGAACTGGCGATTTTCTAGTACAACTTTAGTATGCCGAGCAATCTGTGGAGCTGGAAGCTGAGAGCTGGCGCCTTTGTAGTGCAACTTTAGTACGCGGAGTATTTGTGGAGCTGGAAGAGGAGAACTGGCGACTTTGTAGTGCAACTTTAGTACGCGGAGCAATCTGTGGAGCTGAGAACTGGCGACTTTGTAGTGCAACTTTAGTGCGCGGAGTATCTGGGGAGCTGGAAAATGAGAACTGGCGACTTTCTAGTACAACTTTAGTATGCGGAGTATCTGGGGAGCTGGAAGCTGAGAACTGGCGACTTTGTAGTACAACTTTAGTACGCGGAGCAATCTGCGGAGCTGGAAGCTGAGAACTGGCGACTTTGTAGTACACCTTTAGTACGCGGAGTATCTGGGGAGCTGGAAGGCGAGAACTGGCGACTTTGTAGTACAACTTTAGTAAGTGGAGCAATCTGTGGAGCTGGAAGATGAGAACTGGCGACTTTGCGACTTTGTGGTACAACTTTTTAGTACGCGGAGCAATCTGTGGAGCTGGAAGCTGAGAACTGGCGACTTTGTAGTACAACTTTAGTACGCGGAGTATCTGGCGAGCTGGAAGACGAGAACTGGCGACTTTGTAGTACAACTTTAGTACGTGGAGTATCTGGGGAGCTGGAAGATGAGAACTGGCGACTTTGTAGTACAACTTTAGTACGCGGAGCAATCTGTGGACCTGGAAGATGAGAACTGGCGACTTTCTAGTACAACTTTTAGTACGCGGAGCAACCTGTGGAGCTGAAAGCTGAGAACTGGCGACTTTGTAGTACAACTCTAGTACGCGGAGCAAGCCGTGGAGCTGGAAGCTGAGAACTGGCGACTTTGTAGTACAACTTTAGTACGCGGCTGAGTCATCTCTATTCTGTATTTTGCAAAATGCAAGACAGTTGACGATGGTTGCTTCGCTTTCGCTCCATTGGTCGGTTCCAACTTGTTTTGTCAAAGAACATCGCAGCTCGGCGAATCAGCCTGCCACATAGGTTTATTCTTTTGAAAACTTCCGCCGCCGGCTTGCCCGCAAACTACTATCATTTATGACCCTAATGTAAGTGATTATTCCCAGGGTGTAGCCCGTTGCCAGTCACAGTCGGTAAAAACACATATTACTGCACTATTTGGAGGAAAGGCCTACAACCAGGCCCATCATCATTTACTGGGCCCTGGTCATGGGATATAGATGATATAGATTAATTTATGATCCTAATACCCTATGTAAGTATGTCACTATTCCAGACATGGAAGGTCTAGGATTCTGGGATCAATTGAGTCATGCATCATTCATCGCACCCGGGCTGCAGCCGTTCGGTTGCATGTTGATGCGACCGTTGCTGGACAGCCCCTGAAAACGCTTTGGGGTCCAAAGAATTGCAAGAGCTAAGCATCAAGATGTAGCAAGATGCTATAGGACTTGCTAGGACCCTGTTAGGATTACCCCTGTTAATTAAGATGTGTCAAAATATATCCAAGGGGGTTATACCCCCTACATATATAGATGCAGACATAGCCGTAGTCAAAATGTATCAAGATGTATCCCTGTTAGGATTAACTCCCTTTTTCGGACATGCTCTGACATGAGTCTCTTTCAGGGGGATCTACGTGCGGCTTGCATAGATAGATGTCGGACATGTACCATTGAGCATCTCCTGAAAGATACAAATAATTTATACCTGGGCCCTTAAGGGGTGTCCAAGTAGTGTAGAGGCTTCCATTCATGACCCCTTTGAAGGTGCTGGCATATAAATATAATATATATCATGTATATATATATATATTTGTCTATTTATATGCGTGCTTTGCTGTTCTCGTGCTTTCTGGGTCACATCAGTTCCGTCCGAAAGAAGACGAACCAACTGGACAGCCGCAGCTAACTCCCGGAGATTGTTCTGGTGCATTTTTGGTGCGAGTTGGGTCGGCTGGAGTTCCCTCCGCCGGCCGCGGTGGGCCACAGGGCAGTTTCCGGGACCGGGGTTTCTATGGGGTCGTTCTGATTTCGATTCTGGGCGAAACAGTTACACTCCCCGACGGAATCATGGTTAGTATTGGAATTCACCACCTGCCGTGCATTCGGGCAAACATGTCTTGACCTCCAGAGTGGGGTCTTCAGGATCTGCTTGCAGCCTGCAGATCCTGAGGCTTGGAACTCGAGCAGCTGCTGCGTCATGTCCTGGCGCGCGAATACCCGGAATGTGCCTCGCTGGAGTGATTTAAGAGTTCAGATGATGTAGATGGCAGAGTCACTAGACCCACTTGTTGAGTTTCTCATGCCTACCTCCTTGACATACTATTTGGAGGGGTGGGAGTAGGGGGTACCCTGAAGCAGTACACATAGTTTCTCTTGTTCTTTTAAGGTTCTTTTTGTGGAAATCCGTATTCTGTCACATGGATGTGCGCCCATCTGTGCGGCCGGTCCGGCCTATCATGAACACATGGATGCACTTAAACCAGTTTCAAGAAGACACGTCCTGGGTTTGCCAGGTGATCTTGCTGTTGCTCCAAGAATATCCTTAAATTGATTTTACACAGACACACACACACTATATTTATGTATATATATAACATATAATTAGCCTCCCGTACCGCGTTTCCTGCCCTAGGCCTCGATCCCCAAGATGACTCCCTCCGACCGGCGCTGATGCGGATGCTGCGGCCCATGGGGGAGCGCATGGCCCAGTTGATGGCGCAGTGGTGGAGAGTGGGCTTTTGCCAAGGAAATTTTCAGTCCGAAGCTCTGAGACGAAGGGAGGGGGAGGGAATCCAAGAGGGCTAGTCATATGGCGACTCTTTATAGATGACCAGAGATGACTACCACCTGTAGATGTTCAGCAGATTTTGTGGATGCATTGAGTCCGGTGAGGAGGACCAGTCGTGTGGCTTTGAGGATGTGAGGAGGACGGCTGATTGAGCCAGGGGGAAGGAAAAACAATAGCATTATATCCATACAAAACATGGCATGGGTTCAATAGGTTTCCTGAGTTCTTTTCCCCAATTGATGCAAACATGTGGGGAATGCTTTGCATCGAAAGCGAGTATAGCAGAAGGGATCATTATGATAGTTTATACATGTTTATGCCTGAGACTGCTCAGCTCGGATTGTTCCTGATGTTGCAATCAATATGACTATGATAAACATATATATATATAATATATATATGATTGTTCTATGTTTTCAGTTGCTGCCTTGTGTTGTTCCTACAATGCTTATATGTTGGGTAGCTAACTATTGAAGGTTTTAGTAGTCCTAGTTGATAACCAAGTGGACAACAACAACAACAACAACCCCAAAACAACTACATATGTTTTCTTCACAGCGACCTCGTGTGACGGCTTTTTCCCTTATTTGGAGTGGTGATAGGGGACAAAACAACTAACTCCCAACAACTTCTGATGTGCGCTGCTTCTTTGCTCCATTTTACTTCTTTTGCTCCGCGTTTACACACGGGCAGCCAACACTCCAGTTCTGCCTCGAGGACAACTGCCATCTGGGTGGTCGGACCTTGGACTTCGGGCCCTTTGGATTCCTGGAGCGCTACAACCCTCGCTACTGCCCGCCCGGCGGAGTCTTCCGGGCTGGGGAGGGGAGGTGGACTCAGGGCTGGGAGCAAACAACGACGTGAAACGTGGCACTACCACGAAGCGAAATGTGAGCTCCAAGAAGATGTCTCGGATATGCTGGGATGCTATATATATATATATAAGCAATATAACATATATATAATGGTGCTTGGATCTTTTGGTGTAAATATAATCACATTGATTCATGGCCGGGATGACGAATGAGGATTGGGCTTGCAGTGAAATACTCAGCCTCGGAATCCGTATGGTTTGTCGGCCAGGAGCCATATCTCACAGCACTTTGAGCAATTGCCAATGCGCAACCAGACCGAAGCGACCAATGCACATCCATCCAGAACAGGTTTCTCACTATCACTAGCCTGTGTCACTAGGTGGCCTCGCAGCCTAGCAAAGAAGTTTCATCCAACAGCAGTTGTATGTGCACAAGACAGAAATCAACACGACTTGCTCAAATCCACACGAGCCATGGTGACAAGAGTTTCAGCTCTTTTGCCGAGTGGTGAGGCCATTGACCTCGAAGTGACACCAGAGATGACAGGTTGGGAGCTCAAGGAGCAGATTAAGACAAGACAGCCCTGGGACGAGCCTACCAGCAGCACGACAGGTGTGGAAATCATTATTGACGGCATGTTGCTGGCCGGTGACGAGAATTGTGTCGACGCAGGCATTGCTGAAGATGCTGTTCTGAGTATTGTGTTCAAAACTAATTTTGTTATATGCTCCAACCAAGACGTGGTTGCCAGTCTCGGCGGTGTCATTGATTACTATGATCCTAAGGAACCGCTGCTTGCAGTCGAAATCCCAAGTGATGAGACTCGAATCCTTGAAGGAGCCTTTGCAGGCTGCTACGCATTAGCCAAGCTGACCATTCCGGATTCAGTGACTCACATTGGGGATCGTGCCTTTCAGGAATGTGATTCGTTAAGGAGTTTGACAATTCCGAACTCAGTGACACACATTGTGGAGTCTGCCTTTTCAGGCTGCAGCTCTTTGAAGAACTTGACCATCTCAGACTCAGTAACCCATATCGAGAAAAGTGCCTTTGCGGGCTGTAGTGCGTTGGTGAACTTGAACATCCCACACTCAGTGACCCACATTGGGGAGTCTGCCTTTTCTGGCTGTGGCTCTTTGGAGAACTTGACCATGCCAGACTCAGTGACCCATATAGAGATGGCTGCCTTTTCCAATTGTTTCTCCCTAACGAGCTTGACGATCCCAGACTCCGTTACACACATCGGGGATCGTTCTTTTGAACAATGCAGCGATTTAGTGAACTTGACCATCTCGAACTCAGTGACCCATGTAGGGAAGCTTGCCTTTGATGATTGCAGCTCTTTGGCAAACTTGACCATCTCGAACTCAGTGACCCACATTGGCGATGGTGCATTTCAGAGTTGCAGCTGTTTGGTTGGTTTGACCATTCCCAGCACAGTCACCCACATCGGAGAGCGTGCCTTTATGGGATGCAGCTCCTTGACAGGCTTGACCATTCCGAACTCAGTGACCCACATTGGGAATGGCGCCTTTGCGCATTGCATCTCGTTGTCAAACTTGACCATCTCGGACTCAGTGACCCACATTGGCGATGGTGCATTTGAGAGTTGCAGCTCTTTGGTCGGCGTGACCATTCCCAACAAAGTCACCCACATTGGAGAGCGTGCCTTTATGCGATGCAGCTCCTTGACAGGCTTGACCATTCCGAACTCAGTGACCCACATTCGGGACTACGTGTTTTGGAACTGCGGCTCTTTGGTGACCTTGGCCCTTCCGGACTCAGTGATTCACATCGGTCATGGTGCCTTTGTGCACTGCAGCGCTTTGGCGAGCTTGACAGTTCCTGACTCTGTAATCCACATTGGGGACGGTGCCTTTTGGGGATGCAGTTCTTTGGAATTGAGAGTCTCCCTCTCTGGGACCAATTCTGGGAGAGATGCTTTCGCCGGCTGCAAATGTCTCATAGCCAAAGAGGCTTGACATCGTTGAGCGTCATGGCCGCCTGTTTAGGACGCTCTATGCTGCGTCCTGGCGTCCCGGGACGCAGCAGAAGGTGCTTGAAAATGCCGCGGTCGTTGTTCAGGGGGTTTGGTATAATTAAGTGGGAGGCTGGGAAAAGAACTGGAGCACATGGCCCCAAACAAGCATCGTGTGCCGATGTGCGGCTGGACATCAATCTAGACTGGGAGTATCCACATGACATCTCATGACGCAAGGGTTTGGCTCCCTCATGACGCATCGCTGGGTGCTTTTCCCTGCTCGACCCATCAAAGCCTGCCCCATGTAGCCGAGAACCTGGCCATGTAGCCGAGGCCCCCAATGCAGCGCTCAGCTGAAAGAGGAGAGCATCACCCGCTCCAACCCTTGGTCCTGGAGAGGCCTAGTTTACACTTTGTTTGGGGGGGGCCCTTCCAAAACTCTTGAGTTTGAACATGGACTCGTATGAGACTTTTGTTTCACTAGGACAGGAGAAAGGGTCAAAATACTCTGAGACATCCTTTTCGGTTGAACCGGATTCTACTCCGCTGAAGACTAACATGGGCCATGAAAGCCACTGGTTGTAGAGGACAACTGTCTTTGAGGGTGCCATTTGATCGGGTCCATATAGTTTTTGGGAGTGTAGTCCTAAGTGGCGTATCCAATGATTCCGATTTGTTGCATCTCAGGGTCCTTTGGCTTGGTCAACCTCAGTGAGTTCTCCCATAACGTCCCGGGGGTGAGGAATGGACTTATGTGTTCAATGGACTTATGCCAGGTATACCCAGGGCTCCAAGTACCTCCTCCTCAAGAGGTAGGTATTTGGAATTAGAGGCACGTTTGGCAATCTTACAGCAATTTGGCCAAATTGCCGCAACCAGACGGACGCGACCAACGTATTACTTATTGTCATGTTTCTCACCAGGTGACTGGCAAAGAAGCTTCATCCAACGGCAGTTGTATGTGCACAAGACAGAAATCAACACGACTTGCTCAAATCCACACGAGCCATGGTGACAAGAGTTTCAGCTCTTTTGCCGAGTGGTGAGGCCATTGACCTCGAAGTGACACCAGAGATGACAGGTTGGGAGCTCAAGGAGCACATTAAGACAAGACAGCCCTGGGACGAGCCTACCAGCAGCACGACAGGTGTGGAAATCATTATTGACGGCATGTTGCTGGCCGGTGACGAGAATTGTGTCGAAGCAGGCATTGCTGAAGATGCTGTTCTGAGTATTGTGTTTAAAACTAATTTGGTTGTATGCTCCAGCAAAAGTGCAGTCGCCATTCTTGGCGGTGTCATTGACGATGAGTACTATGACGCCAATGAACCCCTGCTTGCAGTCGAAATCCCAAGTGATGAGACTCGAATCCTTGAAGGAGCCTTTGCAGGCTGCTACACATTGGCCAAGCTGACCATTCCGGATTCAGTTACTCACATTGGGGATCGTGCCTTTCAGGATTGTGATTCGTTGGTGAGTTTAACAATTCCAAACTCAGTGACCCACATTGGGGAGTTTGCCTTTTCAGGCTGCAGCTCTTTGAAGAACTTGACCATCTCAGACTCAGTAACCCATATCGAGAAAAGTGCCTTTGCGGGCTGTAGTGCGTTGGCGAACTTGCACATCCCAAACTCAGTGATCCACATCAAAAGCGATGCCTTTGCAGGTTGCAGCTCTTTGGAAAACTTGAATATCTCGGACTCAGTGACTCTCATGGGAGACGGTGCTTTTGAGTATCCTGTTTTTTTTTCAAGGTGATTCTTTCATATATTTTTCATATTTTCCCTATTGGCCCCACGGATCCAAGTACCTTCTCAGCAGGTGATGTGTTCGACACCGCTATGTAGGTTTGGAGGGTGTACTTGGATCCCTAGGGTGGGTAAATCCCTTTTCTGGATTTTCTGGTGAATATATATATATATATATATGTCCGTGTCCTTAAACAAGTCCAAGGTATTGCACATCCTTGGTGAGCTTGACCATCCCACACTCGGTGACACGCATCGAGAATTGTGCCTTCTCGGGGTGCAGCTCTTTGGCAAACTTGACCATCGCAGGTTCAGTCACCCGCATTGGGAATTCCGCCTTCAGCTCTTGCGAATCATTGATGACATTGACCATTCCGAACACAGTGGCGTACATTGGGGACGCTGCATTTGAGCATTGCAGCGGTTTGGTTGGCTTGACCATTCCCGACACAGTGACCTACATTGGGGAGCGTGCCTTTTTAAATTGTACCTCATTGGTGAGCTTGACCATTCCGAACTCAGTGACCCGCATTCGGCACTATGCTTTTTGGAACTGCAGCTCGTTGGTGAACTTGACCATTCCAGACTCCTTGATCGGAATTGAGAATGCTGCCTTCAAGAACTGCAGCTCTTTAGTGAGCTTGACAGTTCCTGACTCTGTGACCCGCATTGGGGACGGTGCCTTTCAGGGATGCAGCTCTTTGGTGTTGAGAGTCTCCCTCTCTAAAACCAAGTCTGGGAGAGAGGCCTTTGCCGGTTGCAAAGATCTCATAGCGAAGGAGAGTTGATATCGCGGATGGCTAAGACAGGTTTCGAACAGGCCGCCTGTTGGTTTCCAGGCGCCACGGACCCGCTGATTGAGCACCCAGAGCCGCCAAAGGTGGTCAAATGCAGCTGTTGTTTGCTCAGGAGACTTGAGCTGGTGTTCTACTTGCTAGTGAGCAACCAGCGTTTACCCTCCATTCAGCCCTGATATCCACCACCTCCATTGTGTCTTCATAAGTTTTCCAAACGCTGCCAGTGCTATAACTGCTCCTGATTGGAGGGATAAACACAGATCCAGAAGTGAACCCAGATCAGAACTTTGATATTTTCTCGTGACCCTCCAAATGTCACATCAGATCCCGTCAATGAATCGCGACCGTCCCTCACTCGTTGCTCCTTCTGTCCTTCGTCCAGGTAGCTGGTCCGGTGGCGCCGAACACTTCAGCTTTCGACTCCTGGGCCCCACGATGGGGGACCGGGACGGGCTCGTGCGGTTTGACGGACTCGTTTGGACTCCTGGGAGCGATCGAAGTATGAAGCATGCCGGCACCCGAACCCGTCTGGACTCTGGGCTGGAGGGTTGGGTGTTCGGCCCGTGCCGAGGTTTCAATTTGGTGACCTGTGAAGTCAAGTCGGTGCTGGTTTTTATGACATGTATATTCACCATAGACCCGGCCCGAAAGCTGCCAGGTCACCACTCCGTTTAAGTCTACAAAAGCCTCCAGAGCAGACCTCCAACGGAAGTTAGGTGTCCCATTTTCTACTTTGGAGGGTTCCAGGTTTGTGTTTGATCTTGTCTTCGTGACATTTTCTGGTCTCAGCCCCCAAGCGGTGCTGTTTGGATCTTGATTTGGACGTTTGTTCTTGTTGAAGCTCCTTGGAAGAGCATTGTCCTTTCGAAAGGGTTACTGGTAATCCTGTTTTTGCTCAAGATAATTTTTGGTGTATTTTGCCAATGGGTAAATACCTATAAATACCCATTTGGGGTGTTTGCTTTATTGTTCAAAATTCTTAAGCAAAGCCCAGTAATGGGATGTGCCCAACGCACGTTTCCAAAGCTACGACATAAAAACCCAGACAAACTCATAGGTGAGCATAGGCGGTGAGTGGTAGATTGCAATGTCTTGGACCCTTGGAGAGGCGTTCGAGACAATCCATTTGACCTTGATTGTTGGTTGGTTGGACTGGTTGCATGTCGGTTGCAATTTCAATCTTCCAATGGCCATGTTTATTGCATAATTTGTTGTGCTGAATGGCTGGAGAGAGGGTCACATCGTGTGGGGAATGTTCCGATTCTATGCTGTTCTTTGCTCAGACAACCAGGCTACGCCCAGGGAGTGGAATCAATGGTGGCAACAGGTTTGTAGCTGATTGACTGCCACGCCATGTCCGATGTTATGTGAAACACCAGAGGGGCAGATAACAAGTTCTTCCTCACCCCCCACCATATGTGTCGGATCCTTTTTCTCGGACTTGGCCTGAAGGAACAGCACTTCCGCCAGACTGACCCTGCGTGTGTTTTTTTTGTCCATTGTTTGTGGCACGGGTTCGTACTACCGTACCAAGAGAGGTTGAACAGCCCTAAGGTCGCCCATCCCATACGTAGCACTATGGGGTCCTAGTTCAGGATGATCAGGTCTCTCAACCTCTCAACCGGATATGCGTGTTGTTTCCTCCCAACATCAACACCCTCGAGGATTGCAACCCAAAGCTGCCTTGCAGAACTTGGCCAGCGCGATCCGTGCCGTGGATGATCGAGATCAGCGGCGGACTCGTCCAACGAGACGCTTGTGTTGGGGCGGTTTTGTCAGCGAGTGATGGGAGGTCTTCCAGCGAGTGATGGGGGTGATGGAAGTGAGCCATTTGGCAGGTGGCAAAACTGGCTGCTTTCGAAGGCGCTCTATCAAACATCCAAGGCGTTGAAGCTGAGGAAACGGTGATTACGGCCAAGCCTGGGTAAGGCAAGACGCATGAGTTTGGATCCGATTTGATGGAGCTTGGAGGGGAACAAAGTAAAAAGCAATACTTATACCAGCACCTTCAAAGGGGTCACCAATGGAAGCCCCTACACTACTAAGGGACCTCCATTGGACACCCCCTGAAGGTCCAGGTAGGATCCTATTTGAGTTCCACGTCCGTGACCTTTCGAGCTGGCCCGGCCCGGCTTCAAGGGCTCCCTGTCAGCCGACAAAGACACGGCGGTCTAAGGCGGGGGTTGTTCCCATAAAACCAGGTATATATGGGGCCTAGGTTAGGGGATGCCTAGGCAAACCCTGGATCCTATCCCAGGCTAGGTTAGGGTCTATCATACTTGTAGGGCCTATCCCGCGGCTAGGATAGGGCCTGTGATACAGCCTATCCAAGGTTGGGATAGGGTGTCGGCTTGTTTTGAGGTATAACAGGATAGGCCCGGGGGCCTGTGGCCACCCACCCTGTGGGCCTCACCCACTCTGTGGCCCTGTAGCCGGACCTGTGGAGCCACCGACGTCTCCAAGCCCACTTGCAGCCTGTCGAAGTGGACGCACGTCTCGTCGCTGCGTCGTTTCGGCGTTTCGTCGTTTTGACATGGCCGACTCATGTGCCTTGTAGAAGCTTCAACCCCTTCGCAAGCTTGGGCTGCTGTTGGCGGACGTTTGCAGAGGGGTTAGGGGGGGGGATCCTTGAAGTCGATTTTTGGAAACCTGTTTTTCCAACAGAGGTGGAGAGTGACCTGAACGTTCGGACCCGGAAAACCTGGGGTACCCAATACCCAACTAGGATTATATCGATGGTCGAGTTCGTTCGGGTTCTGATCCACCTCAGGTTTTTTTCCGCACCGGACCGACGACTGCACCGCACCGCACTGGACCGGGAAGTCCGGTGGACCGGTTCAGGTGCCATGGACTGCCTTTTGGACAGCGAGGGCCGCGAGGAGGGACAGCAAGTGCTGCGCGACTTCCCGGCATTGCTGGCAGAGGCCTTCGCAGAAGCCCGTTGTGCAAGGCGAATACGCATGCGTATACGCTAGGTGAGTTATAATGTTGTTATTAAACCTATGGGGGAATCCCCTCCTGCAGGGAATATCTTACAAGACACTTCCGAAAACTAACATGGAAGTGGATGGCACCACCTGTTTGTCGTGGAGGAACCCTGGTCTTCCAGGGCCGAACCTCGGGGCCCTCGGGGCCAGGCCATCCACCTTCCACCATGAGAACCGTTGGACCAAGGGAGTGTTAGTTCCATGTTTCCCGGTTCCTGGCGGCCACGAACCGAGGAAGTGAGGATGGAGAAGTTGGGCCTTTGCTTCTGGGCGCCTTGGACGGTCTTCCCCGAACACCGTGGATGGAGAAGACTGGGAAGCAGAGGATGGGAACCACAGGAGGTGCACTTGGCATTCTGCAAGTGCTCCTTTGGAGGTGCAAGTGGTATGTCAGTTGAGAGGTACCTGGTGAGTTTGGCGTTGGAAAAAAAGCCGTTTGGTGGCTTGGAGCCTTTCCACGATTTGAGCGTAGTGGACTATGACATAGATGGGTGATGATGGGTGAGGAAGGGCTAGGGATAAGGTGAATCAGAATCCAAAACGCTTGGTTTGGGTCGTTGGACGGAGTAGAAGGTGAGTGATTGGTAAGAACGGGTGGATGGTGACATATGGTGACTTGGGTGTGTTTGCGGCTAGCCTTTCTTGGTGCTTTAGCCTTTGGGAGACTTGGATTTGAATGTGGAGGATGGTAGAGGAAAGGCGGAGCACACAAAATGGACACATGAACCGTGGCAGGGTGTCACAGTCACAGACTTTACAAAAGACTCATGAAAACTCTTTTGTTGAGAGTTGCTAAAACATGCTGAAACCCATAACACACGCGAGTGAACATGGCACGATGCGCACCTTGATGCGCCCAATCAGGCAGGCTGATAACTTTTCTCCACCAACCCGCCACGTGAAAACATGTGGGTCGCTTTGGGCGCGCAACACAGGTGCTGCCTTTGGCCGTGCGGCGCGGGTGACTCCCGACGATCTGGACCTGTCATACCTGCCACTTCCTGAGCCCTATACAGAAGCGCCCTCCATACTGTTTTGGCCTGAAGCTACAGATCCCAAAGATGAATCACCACTGTTCGCTTCAAACCTGCAGGCACTGGAATCCACAACTATGCCCATCCCAACAATTTGTTTAGATTCCCTCCCTCACCTTACATCACTCCATCACTCCACCAACCTGATCACCCCATGACATACCCTCCTGCAGATGAAGACACCCTGGTTTCACCACCCACCTTGGAGGACCACCATCTTCCAGAACACCCCGGCCGCGCTGCGGATTCCGTCCGTTTCTATAGGAAGAACACCCCTGGGCCGTCCCGCGGCCTCCGGATGGCGTCCGTCCCTCGGAGGACTCCGACGCCGCGCGCTTGTGCGACGAGCTGCTGCAGCTCATGGAGGCCTCCGCCGCCGATTGGACCCTGCTCTGGCGCCGCCTCGCCGACGTGGCGCAGGCGAAGAGCCGCGGTCGGTGGAGAAGGGTCGCTGTGGAAAGCGGGGACAAGCGGAGGGGGATTTGGGGTGAAGAAACATTGGTGAACAAGTGGAGCAAGTGGTATTTTGCATAGGCATGTGGTTTTTGGATGGGGTGAAGTGAAGTTCACAGGCGTACTTAGTTTGTTACTGGTAGGAGGGAATGGCTTCTGGGGTAGGAATGTGAGGCAGACGCTGGATTGAGAAGATCGATCGCCGAGTTGAGAGTCCAATCGGTTCCATCAGGCCCAGGTTTGTAGTCATACGCACCTATATATAGACTTCCAAAATAGATCTAGGGTTTGATTGCATTCTCCAGGTTTATCAGGATGATTCTCATGATCCTTGCTCGGCCTTCACCATCACCTGGAAGTTCGGCCCGGCCCCTCTAGTTTCACCACCTGGGTCGATGAATCACAGGGGGGGAAGGACTGGGACGAGCTGATGGAGGGCGGAAGGCTCTTGGAACCTCTCCAAGGAAGACACTTGGTACTGGACGGGCTGGGTGGCCGCTGGACGGGCTGGGTTGAGGGAGGGAACCCATACCGAATCCAGTTGCTGCCATACCGAACCCTCCAGAAGTTGGTGTGGCTGAAATAAAGCTTCAACTCCAAAAACCATCGGACCACCTTTTTATCCTTTTTTTGGGGGGGTTCTCAGTCAATTACGGGTCAAATGACCATCAAATGACCTACTGCCAAGTTATCAAATCATTCTGCGATGTTATGCAATGATGTTGTGTTTGTTGCAAGACCGGTGGTTCCAAAAGCTACCCCGTTCTACACCTCACAAGAACGGCTCTTTTTGACACCCGTCTGACGCCCGGAGATGTGTCGCAGACAAACCCTTTCCACCCCCGTGGGAGCGAGACCTTCTCTTCTCTTCTGAAGTGATCCAGCCCGAAACGGAAAGGGAAAAACCACAGAGGTTTGAGGTTCATACACTATTCCATAGGTACCAAGTCGTAGGGTCCAAACGTGGCTACCTCAAAACAGCTCAAACGAAGAAAAGAGACGGGGAGGTCTCCACCGTGTCGAGGCCTTACCCACCCGTGCCCGGACCAGCCCCGGACGCCGCGGAGAACGGACGCCGCCCGGACCGGCGGGACCTCGCCACTTGCTCCCAGGCTTCTACTTGCCCTTGTCTCCTGAGCAGCTTGGAGATCGAGATTCTGGATGTGACGGATGTGTTTTCGTTTGTGTCTACATGTTTAAACCAGCACCTTCAAAGGGGTCACCAATGGAAGCCCCTACACTACTAAGGGACCTCCATTGGACACCCCTTGAAGGTCCAGGAAGATAGGTGGTGGTTTCAGATATATGTTTGAAGATGTTTGATGTTCAACCATGTTCAACCTTTACTTGGGATGATTTCTAACCCACTTACTCACGATTTTTGTGAGTGAGTTGAAACCACACAGAGCTGATCGCCATGAGTTAGAATTCAGTTTGTACGGCAAACAACAACAGTTTTCCACCACCCCAAGGGTGGTTTTTAGATGGAAAATTGATAATCACAGGGTCTATAAACAACCCTTTGGGTGATGTATATTATATAATATAATAGTTATATATATATATATCAATTAATGTTTAACTGCCATCATCAGGACCCAAAATAAAGAAAATCACACGCATGAACTTCAACTATATTTTTCACGGCCAAACATATATTGTTATCCACTTCCGAATTTGTTTCAAGGCCATTATTTTGTGGGGAAAGATCCGATCATGACCTTCAAGGGCGGGCGGAGCTAACTGGCTGGCCCACTTCGTCTATAGGCAGCAGCATTTGGGAGACCAGATCCCAACAATAGAGATCCTCCGAACCAGCAGGATGGCGATCCACCTTGATTCAGTGCCGGCTCGTAGATGCTTGAACAGGCTTGATTGCTTTCATCCCGATGTAGATGGAGATCCACCGAACAGAACAAGCACATACCACTTCCGAACACCCCGATTGTGAGAACCCCGTCCTGCCCAGCAGCCTTTTCTGTGTCCCCCGAAGCTGCTCCACCTGCGCCTCCATTCCAGGCTGGAGGCTGCTTGGAGCCGTTGGCTCCTACGGTGGCTCACCCGTTTGCAAGGCGAAGGCGACTGCGAAGAGGTGGCACAGCAGATGAGACGGGTGAAGCTTGGAGACAGATGATGTGCTTGTGAGACAGAAGGGAGTCCGATAAAGACGAGTAGACCGTCTATAGGCCAATTGGGTGCTTCTGGAACTTGTTGGTATACACACTTGGGATAGAAGGGATAGATAAGAGGTTCGCATAGCTACTTGGAAGACTTTAGGAAGATTTGTCTCTCAAGGAATCTCAAAGATAGTATCAAGGGTATACTGTATTTTGTGTCTAAAAATGTTATTTTTCTTCATGTTACTGTTTGGTGGTGTGTATGTCCGCTCATACTCCTGATCCAAATACGATCCCTGGAACTACCATGGGGGTGGAAACGCCTTTTGTTTGTAGAGGAACATGATTCTTGGGGCCCTGTTCCACTTCCAGGACGCCTATCCAATGAGCTTGTTCCTTTGCCCTATCAGGAATCCTAAGTATGTGCCGCGGAATTGGATGCTGATGGAGGCGATGCAGAAGCTCCGTAGCTACATGCAAGGTTGCAAGGTCTTTGCGGATTGGGTGATTTTTTCCTGAACTGGCTTAACATATGTGGCAGGGGGGATGTTTGTTCATTTTTCCAGGTTCCTAAAGCAAATCCAAGGATTTGAGAGTGCCCTACCCGGGAAGTATGTAGATCACATGTTAAAACCTCTTTTGGGGCGATGCATTGACCGAACATGAACAGGTGTAACAAAGCTAGGGGTAACCTTCATTTTCCAGGGAAACCCAGGGAGTCAGGATACAGGATGTATGTATATTATATAACACAATATATTATAATGTAAAATATACTATTATATAGAATATTAAAAAATATATACATCCATTCAGGGTATGATATCTACTGTAGGAACTGTAGCCACAGGAGCCAGAAATCCCCATCGGGTGAATGCAACATGAGTTCACTGAGTCCTGGCATGGAACTTTGACCACTGAGATGCACACGACCAACTACTGGTTCCCCGCCAAATGTTTAAACCCAAGAGAATAAGAGCCAACATGAGGGGTACGCTCTATGCTTGGCACACTCCATAAAACAGAGCAAAGTGTTGTGCTGAACTCCTGAAGCATAGAGTAATAGCTGGAGCTGTCGTATAAACCCTGGGAGTGCCCAGACTATATCCAAGAACGGTGTTTAGGTGGCAAGAAGAATTTCCTTGAGTTCAGTAGGCCAAAATATAGGCTTTGGACTTCGAGGTTGGGCGTGCTTTTTTAAACATGCAACAAGAAGGTTTTGTTGGCCTTTCTCAGCGAAGAGAAAACAAGGAGGCCGCCCTTCACACTTGGAGGCCTACGAGGCGGCGGAGGCAGGAAACTTCCAAGTGGCACAGCGCTTGCAGCAGCGCCTTGGATGAAGGCAGCAGATCCCGAGATCATGGCAGTTCTGTATGGATTACATATGGTGTTGAGTGGGGACTCATCCGATGCCGGATATGTTGGAGGGCCGTCATGTCCAGGGTTGATAGATGTTGATAGACATGTTTCGTGGAGGTCTATGGGATTGCCGCTTTATAATGTTTGATGTTCATTTGTTGGCATACGTTGACATGTCCTTTTAAAGGGGGTCGTCTCTATAATGAGCATCCCTGCAGGAGTAAATCTTGGTTATATATATATATTTCTATCTATCATACAGTATCATATATATATATACATATCTTCTGGGTGCCAGTGTGGTTGGGTATAAGGAGCAGCCTGGAGCTTACAAAAAAGCTGTGTACATGTATTTCCCCACCATCGAATTCCCCCTTAAGGCTCAAGGGAAGAAACCAAAGTGGTGTACATGGTTCCTTGTAGGATTTCCCTTCTTACCACTCCATTGACAATTTGGTAATTCTCAAAGCCTGCAGCGCACGCAGGGCTGCAGGCTGCCTGCAGCTTTGATCCAAACCTGGTAGCCCCGGTTGATCCGTTGCTAGCAGATATCAACCTCGATTGACCTATCGACCTCGTGTTTCACCGATGTTGGACCTCCTTTGTAACAGGAAAAGGCCATAGTTCCTTCCAAAAACACTTGGAGGACCGGCAGATTCGGACTTTCCAGCTCCATGGTGCCCACACCGGTGCACCTCCCCCCCCGGCGCCGGTGCACCTCGCGCCGAAGCGCACCCTCCGTCGCGGTTCTTGGGCCGAGCGCAGCGAGGATCTTCGCGAGCCCGTACGAGGAGCATCCCGAGGCAAGCGGAGAAAGCGGAGAACTTGAGGAGTCGGCCGAACTGCCCAGCGATTTCGCTGGGGGAATTGATTTTACTGGGGGGGGTTGAAGTTTTGAGCTTATATAGTTGGTTTGAGTCTAAGTCTTGTGGGAGGATTTAAGTTTTTTTCTGAAAGGCATGGACTTGGTCTTTGCTCGTTGTCCTGCGGGATGAGGACTCGTCGAATCCGAGCGTCGTATTTCCTGACAGGACGAAGCTCGGTATTTCCGTCTGGCGCCGGTGGAGATGCGCACGCGGCCGGGGGTCTTTGTGATGAGCTGATCTTCGTAGGAACGGAACCAGCGCGTGGAGACGAGGTTGGTGGAGCAGAAGCTGGATCGAATGGATCTATGAGAGGGTATAATCATAGACGCTTAACCCACCCCCCCCATGACCTCCCCCCCCTTTGAAATCCTTAATCCTGCCTTATTTCCAGAGAGAGGATTTAAGGCCTAATTAGACTTTAATTCCTTGGAGCTCACTAAATGTGAGGAAAAGGAGATTGCTTGGAGACTTCAATCATGAAGACTGAATCCATCATCAGTCATCATCTTAGATCTTGTGTACATCAAAGTCATCCCCTAGAAGTCCAAAGACTATTTTCAGCAACACCCAAGTACAGTACAGGAAGTTCCTTTTCCTCTTATAATAAGAGACCAAAAGAGGGCCTGAGATCACTACCCCCTTGCGGTGCTTGACCCCCCCCGGAGGGGTCAAAATTGTAAATTACATTTTTGGATTTTACAACAATAGCCTTATATAGCCCTATAGGGGCGGGGGGGGTGAAAATTGTAAGATCTAGGGTTGAGGTAGCCTATGTGAGGATGTTACTTTTTTTGACCCCCCCCCTGAAAGAGGTCTTGGCCTACTTCTGGAGACTTTGAAAGGAGGGAGGAGGGGGGGGGGAATTGTAAGAATCTATGGGTGGGTACCACACAGAGCAAATGACAATTTCCCCCCCCCCGGTCGACGTTGTACGAGTGTGCTGCATGGTCCGGGCGACGAGCCGCTGGACGCTACGCTGTCGATGGGCGAGAGCACATGGCCCATGAGGTGAGCCTGCTTCGAGAGGGAGGAGTAGGGAGGTCAATGTAGACTCTGGACTTCTCTAGACTCTTGATTAAGAAATATATATTAAGAACCCCCCACACAAACAGGTACGAGAGGGAAATTGTAAGTTACAATTTTGAAGGTGAGGGTCCATCCTTCTACCTCAACCTCAAAATTGTAACTTATAACTTTTGAGCGCGTGCAGGCCAAACAAACACACACAGCGTCACAAATGTAACTTACATTTTTGACCCCTGTCTTGTGAGATGGAGGTATATCAGACCTGTATGTTCAATTTTCACCGTTTTCCAAAACCTGCATTTTGACACACCCGAAATTGTAAATTACATTTTTGACCCCCCCCCGGGGGTAAGGCAGCAGTGATGGCCTGAGAGTTTCAGAATTTCAGGCAGATGTGGATGAGGCCTGCTGCTACGGCTATGCCATAGGGTTCTTCAAGCTGTTCAGAGGTCAAATTTCAGGGGGCGATGTTGGAACGACCGAACAGCAAAGCGGAGTATAACGGAAGTGGAGACGGGAGTCAGGTTTGTGAAATCATTCTTGAACTCTAGTGGCACCCAGCTTGTGCCATAGTTTTTTCTCGACAAGAAAACCGGCGGGATGTGGGGAGGGGGAAAGCCACAACTTGGGTAGCAAACAAAGGACTCCTCTTTCATCAAATTTCTGTATCGTCTGGAATTCTGGAACAGCTCGTTGATTGCAGACGTCCTTGCCAGGGGACCGGTGCCAGTCACCCGTCAGTCGCCAAAGAAGGCTTTATCAATACCTGGTAGGTGGGTCAGTCGGCATATGTCGTTTTCACACTGATCATAAACACCAGGCGGCCAACTACTGGAGAAGGTAATTTAGAAGGCAAGGGTAGGGAGTGGTGTTGAAGTATATAATTGACTCATTTCTCAAAACCGCGTGCTGAGCTAGTCCGTCCACCCCGCAGATGAATGATGCCCAAGTGGACCGTCTTTGCTTGGGCAGAGAGTTTTGCAGAAAGGTGGGCCGATGCGTTGTTCCTGCCGCCTGGAAGAAGAGGCAGCGTCGCTTGCAGATGTCCCAGCTGAAAGCAAGTCCAGAGTCCTGTATCTATTGGTTTCTGACGGTCAAGAGGAGGCAACAGGCCAAACATATCCAAACATAGTCGATGAGGTTTGATGGACTGAAATGCATGGAATGCCAACATAATGTAGACTCTTGATTAATAAACCACCCCATATGAAGATGTTTTTCAATCCAACTGGGGTGGGGTCATTAATCAAGAGTCTACATTATCTATATTCCAAACATTTCAAATGGCCCAGTTGCTTCACCTCACCAGTCATCAGTTCAGCAAGTCTTGACACCTGTTCCCGCCGGGGAAGTATCGCTTTTCCTGGATGGCGTGATTTTGGAGGGTCTTCTGAAATCGTCCACACCCCCTGCAGTTACTTCCCAGAACTTCTTGCCATTTACTTTATAATGTGCCTTTGCGCGTCCTCTTACACCTGAACCATCCAATCCTGAAGACTTGCAGATCTGTTGGGAATCCGAATCCGTCCACAAGAAACATGGGGCAAAGCTCACCCCACAGACACGGAAACCGTTTTCCTCGCGGAACGAAAAGCATTTGTTTGCGGATCTTTGCGGGAGGTGGTCGGTCAAGAGACGCAGTGGCACACCTTGGGTTCTGGAGAGGTGCACCTTCGTGTTTCTCATGGTTGTGGTTCAATAGAAAGGATGACCCAGGACCCGCAGCTCACAGGCCAATCAAAGAAGCTAGAGGTCATAGCTGTCATAGCTTTTGCGCAGGAGGATCCTCCCAGAAGCCGACGCAGCTTGTGTTCACTACCACTCACTGTGGACCTCAATTCAAAGATTTTTGCTTTGTGCGAATAGTCTTGGAGGGAGATGGAGGAAGCAATTTGCAGAAGGCAAACTTCAGGAAGCTCTTGAACCCAGTGGATACGACATGATAGGAGCATCAGAGTGAGCATCAGTTTTCTACGCTTCCTGAAATCATCATGGAAGTGGAAAAACCGCCCGCTGTGGTCGTTTTCGGAACATCTCCCAGACACGACCCGTCTGGGACTGCCAGTCCGTTCTGCCGCCCCAGAGTCTGACGCCGTGAAACTCGGCCGTCCGAATCGGCAGTCCCGTCGACGGGTCGTGTCTGGGTATGGTCATCCTTTCGGATTTCTGGGCCATGCCATCCATGGTGCCTGATGACTCCCCTGCACAGGACCACATGGGGTGCCACAACCACAACGGGCCGTGGGTCGTAGAGGAAAATGGTCGAAAGCACGACGGGTGAAGTGTCAGGGTCCATGTTAGTCTGCCGGGCATGGCGTGTGCTTTCGCTACGCTGCAGCTTTGGCCCAAGAAGTCGTGTCACCCCGTCGACTGGGCAACCGCCGAGCGATTACCACGCTCAGAGTGCGGTGCTCAGGGGCGCGGGGGAGAAAAACTATATATGAAAGGTCTTCCAGCACCCGACTTCACAGGTCACCACCATCTTTCAGTCTTCAAAAGCCACCATTTCGGAGACCTGTGGGAGGGTGCAGGGAGAATGTAGCAGTGAGTTTCAGGACATCATCCCGATTTTGGGGGCCAGAGGCGTTTGGATCCTTTGGCTTCAGCTTCTCGACGCCTAAAGATGCTTATAAGTCTAGGAAGGCTAGGGCTAGGGCCGGCGTAGCCCAATGACATGAATCGCATGAATCCCAGTGGTGCTTTCACGATAGTCCTTCCGCTCGGGAAGTCGACGGAGGTTCTTTTCGAGCCGAGAGGGGTGTTTTAAAACATATCAAAACGATGAAACCTTACGTAAGTCTCCCTAAGTTAGCAATCAGTGCGAACGGTTTCAGGGGTCACCATGGAAATTTGTGGTTGCGTAAATGTGTCCAGTGTTTATTTTAAAAAACACAGTTTTTCTTTGAATAGTAAACACATGTCAACTAAGAAATATTGCACAAATTAGATCATATATGAGCTTAAGTATTTAATTTAGAGTTTCATTTTGTTCATTTTGTTTCATGTGTTGTTCATAAATGTGCAAACACTGCTGGCAGTTTGACACATCCATGAATAATATATATGTACGTTTTTGTCCAAGGGCCGTTTCGTTAATGTTCGTTGCTCTTGTTGGAATTTGCAATTTCACACATCAGGTGACACTATTATAATAAACATTATACATCAACATATTGCGCAATATATTAAACACAGATAGTGGAACTCATGCAAAACCAACACCCACGAATGTCAGAATGAGGCTCCTACGGCTCCTTGTCAGGATCACAGACCGTTTGTTTTTTACAGCCAGGTCCTTAGAGCACCTGTGCAACCAGACCCCCAAATAGATAGAAAGGTAGATCCCAAAATCAATTGGAAACCGTGCAATCCTATTTGGGGACAATAAACAATTACAGATCTGTTTAACTGGACACGTGTTCCTAGGTGTGGCGCTTACCGTGGCGCGCCGTTTTTACATGGTGTGCTGCATGGCCCGCATGGTGACGCATGTAAAACAGTGCAATGTATGACCATAGACACAGGGCCAGGCTGGCATGTATGACCGACTACTAAGTACTCCTAGATCGCGCCAGGATCACGTTCCAGCCCATCCAGCTCAGCTGCGAGTTTCTCGTCTCGGAACCCGATGGCGGTGGACCACCCACCCACAGTGATTGATCTTTGGATAGAGGTAGCCTTTGAGCATCTATAGTTAATGCGTTGGGCCAGTCTGCAATGTAATACATTTGAATGTATATATGTTTTTTATGTTTTTTTTTTTTTTTAACGTGCCTTTAGTGCCCTGCCTGTTCTGATGATATGATTATATAGTTCCAACAACTGATAGAAGAGGATGGTGAAACAAATGCTTTCCCCGAGTGGCATCAAAGCTCCTTGCAGTTCAGCGCGGCTCCGACTTGGTCTTCACATCCATGTTTGAACACCTGACTGGTTGCCTCGCTCAGAAATTCCGTGAGCTCGCTATGCACAGCCTGCGCCTGGCACTGCTTGGGGGCCCAGCCACAGATTTCCAGAGTTTCTGAACTTGTGAACTTTGAGATGTTTTCGGAGATGAAGAGCCATGAAGAACACACAGGAACAGGTGGCAGGTTTTTTTGGGACTTAAAAACGTTGCAGGTGGCAGGTGATGACCTGTCGGAGGGTCCTGGTAGAGGGTCTTTTCTAGTCAGGTTGACCAATCCCGACAGTTACATAGGTCATTGGAACAA